TTCCCTAGAAACATGGCAGCACAGCTTAGGTTTACAAAGTTGCATCTGAACAAACCGCAAGCCTTCTGGAACAATGTCCTTTGATCAGATGAGACCAAAGTGCAGATGTCTTTTCTTAGTGCACATAATGCATGTTTGGATAAAATCAACCACAGCACATCAGCACAAACACCTCACAGCAACTGTGGTGAAGGAGTAATGCAAGGACCTGGGCACCTTCCAGTCACTGAATCGACCACAAACTCGATACTCGATACTTTTGAATACTTTTGCATTCAAAAGTATCCAAGTCAAATTCGAGGCTATCTGTCCAACAGCTAAAGCTTGGCTTAAACTGGGTCACGGAAAAGGACAATGATTTCTACAACAAAACTACAACAGAATGGCTGAAAAAGAAAAAAATCGAGGAGTTGAAATTGCCTAGTCAAAGCCCAGACCTCAACTCATCTGAAATTCTGCGGTGGAACCTCAAGAGAGCTGTGTATAAACAAATGCCCACAATCTCAATGAACTGCAGCAATGCTGTAAAGAAAAGTGGGCCAATTTCCTCTGCATTGCTGTGAGAGACTAATTAAGTCATACAGAAAATGACTGCACACAGTTATGTGAAAATGTTGTTATTCACATGACTGTAAACTGATGGGACACAACAGATTAACATTAGTCAGCAGTCAATAAGCTTTATAACACCTAATACTAACATTTGGGTGTTGAATCATCAGTTTAAAAAGACCTCAAGAGACATATTCCTATATAAATATAACTACCCAGTCAAAAGGAATAATCAGAAAGAGCCTTGACCATAAAAGCCAATCTGTAACTCTGTAGAATCAGGTCCAGATTTCCTTTTGTGGAGGTGGAAGAACATTACAGAAGGACAACTGTTTGTGCATCACTCATTCCAGTCCTTAGGGAAAACCACGTGTCAGCACACTGGGTATTTGACAGAAAGTAATTAAATGACTCTCAGATCACGAAAAGCAAAATTCCCAGGTCTGAAGACACAAAAAACGGACCTATTTGACCCTAATTCCCATCTGTATGTGTCAAGGACACCAGGCAATGAGCATCAGCTCATCAATACCTTGCCAGAAGCCAAACACAGTGGTAGAGGTATCAGACTGTGAGGTTACTCTTCTGTGACATGGACTGGGAGACTGGTGAGGATAAAACGCGCATGCAGTAAAATATATGTCAATCTTAAGTAGGGATGGGTATCGAAAACCGGTTCTTGTTGAGAACTGGTTCCCACTGTTTCAATTCCTTGGAATTGTTTGCCATTTTTGCAAACGATTCCGTTATCGATTCCAGTCGCCCCGAATGACGTCACCACGTTGCGGAGCGTCATTTACCTGGCAGGAAACACGGCGCCTAAGCGGCTCAAACACTAAAAAGTTTGATTATACTTTACGAGAACGGATGACAACAGGGCAACTTGCAATACTTGCAAAGTAGATATTTCATTTAAGGAAACACTACGAACATGCAAAAGCATTTGCTCACAAAACACATGATAACCTTAAATGACTGTCGTGTTTTTAATTCCGCTCCGGACTCGTGAATCTCAACCCAGCAGCAGCGGTAACGTTTGCACGTCCTCTCTCGTTAATGCGGCAGGTAAATAATCAACTAACAGTCCATATTATGTTAGCGCGATCTGCCTTATTACAAAACCTGCCATTACTGTGCATTTAGGTGACCATGATGATGAGAGAGACAGACAGAGTCTGGCTCAGATGCTGGCAGTTCTCGCTGCAGTCTACCAGTAGCGTCTCCTTTCAGGCCAGGATAGACGAATGTCACCGAGCTGTGACTAAGTTTGTGGTAAAAGGCTTGCACCCATCGACCTTAGTGTTCTCCTTTAAAAAAAAAAAAGAAGAAAGAACCGATAAAGAATCAAATCGTTAAACAGAATCGAAAATGGAATCGGAATCGTGAAAATCTTATCAATACCCATCCCTAATCTTAAGTGAATACCTGTTTCACAGTACTCGGGATTTAAGAATTCAAAAAAGGTTATACTTCATCAACACAACCTGAAAAATACTGCTGTGGAAACACAGGAGAGGATTTCAGCAAACTCCTGAGTGCTAACACAGCTCAACACTACAGTGTCAGAGTACCTGAACCAAAACAGACCATCTCTGAAGAGACCTGCTTATCCCTGTACACTGACACACTCCATCCAAACTGGTTGTGTCACATGCACTTCTGAAAATCCTTCCGACTCCCTCGGTATCCATTTCTGGGTACGGTTTACCTGTTGCCACTCTCTTGTGTTGTATTATGCATATGTGTGTGTCTGCCCTGCTGCAGATGTGGAGGACCAAGAGAACCAAAGCATCAACACTTAGTATAGCCATCTCTGCTGTATTATTGCCTGCTGCTACAGAACTCATTTTTTTCCTCCATCTGCCCTGCGATTCTGCCCGCTTCATCTCCAACCCCTGCTCTCCACTTCTTGTCTGCGCCAAAGCTCCTCTGTCACTGGAACAAACACAGCCCACCAACACTCAGCTTTGCTTCCCCCAGATAGACTTAACTTTCTGTACTCTCTTTACTCTGCTGTTCCTAGCTCCCCCCTACCCCCACCCCCACCCCCTTTCCCTGCTCCATCTGCCCCAGATGCCCAGTATGCCCAGTCTAAATATTTCTCCAGCAACCTTGCCACCCTCACTTAAAAATAAGCCAAAGTTTGCTTGCAACCATGCCTCCCATTGTCTGTCTGCTTCGTGGCTTATTAGTTTAGGAGAATGGGCTCGAACAATAGTGTTGTGCAATACTCCAAATTTTGGTATCAGTCCAATACCAAGTAAATACAGACAGTATTACCAATATCAATAACATAGACAGATACTTTTAACCTATAAATTTAGCATACGTAGGGGAGAGTGGTGTGCCTTGATTTAGGAGATGAATCATCAGTTAGCAAATTCTGAACACATGTTAATAACCACTAAATCACATTTTATGTTCCATAAAAATTTGCTAAAACAACAAAACACACATATTAGCTTCTCATGTATTTTGAAACTGGGTTTTTTGGAGATGTGGAATGCAAATGTGCCTGTCTCTAAAACACTTTGAGTCAGCTTCTGTTGTTTAAATGTGCTATAGGGTATAAATAAAACAGATGTAAAAAGTCAACACAAAGCGCTTCAGACATTTATCATGGTGCATATGGGCTACATATTGAATTTAGAGGATGAAACCATCGGCTTAACTTTGTGCTGAACATTGGAGGCACCGAATCTCTGCCTAAATAAATAAATACATAAATCTGGGTAAATTCCCAGATGATTAAACATGCATCTATTTTGCTGGCAATAAAATGACATGACTAAAGACAATCAATAGCCTA